AATCTATAACACATCAAATAAACACAGCATTTTACAATGCACTAAGTTCTGCTTTACCTTGGAGAGTCTGAAATATTGCTTAAAGCCTACAGTTCTCCTGTTATATATGGCAGGGCAGATGTTAACAGTGGGAGAGAGGCAGTGAGATACATCACAGAAATATAGAAGATACATTAAATGCTAAATGCTAGCAAGTGCAGGTGTGAGCCCTCCCTGATGAACCATTTAGGTAAGAGAAATGCAAGAAATTTACATTAATACCTGCATAATCTTCAAGAATCAGATGGCTTCTCTGTATGGAGACACCTCTAAATCTTTTGGTCCCCTAGCTAACTCTCACTTAAAAAAATAAAAACATTTGCTCTCCCCTAGGTTAGACAACCTATTCAAAGTCTTTCCCTTATGAACAGGGAAACCTGGTGTCTCCTTGCATTATGAATATTGGCTCAAGGTCGGCTGTAAGAACAGACCAGAAGTCAAGTAAATCTAATCCTGTTCTGGCAAGAATCGAGTGATTTTTGCTACAGAATTAATTCACAGAAGCCTTCCAATGATGAAGGGCATTGCTACCAGTCATGCCCCTAGCCACAGATGGCTTCAGAATTAAGCATCTAGCAAAAGAATAACTTCATATCCATTGCTAGGACTCTCATAACTAGTTCGTTCTGCATTGAGAATTTCATTTAGAACCAGCTTCTCCCTCCAGAACCTAAGGTTTTTACCTTTCTTTTCTTCCTCTTCTTCTTCAAAGAATTCAGCTAAAGAAAATGCTTCATTGAGTTGCTCCATTTCCTCTTTCACTGTGTCCAGCTCTTCTCCAGAGAGGGCATTTAGAACCAATTTCACCTAGTTAGGGGCAGAACAGCCAAATGGAGAGTTATAAATCCAGAAAGAAAAAGAAACAAGATGGAAGATGAAGTAATTCATTTACATTGCATGTAAAAACACTACAGATCAATACTAATGAGAAAGTGGTGTTTTCCTACATGAAGGTTGAAGAGGAAAGACAAGTTAGGTAACAGCAGATTCTTATGGAGTTATTAAAAAGATTCCATTATAAAATCTGAATGATTTCTGAATGCATAGCCAAGCCTTCTCCTTGCCTTGAAACAGAGAGGACACTGCTGTGCCTGTAGCATTACTTTCCTCCAGCAAACAAGTACCCTCTTGATAGGGTGTTGAAGAAATGCAGGAACTGAGGTTGCTTAGGCAAAGAGAATGGCTCTAGGAGTTGAGGACAGGACAGAATGCTCCCAAGGAAAACAGTAGATCAGGAGTCAGTGACGTTGTACAATCATCATTTTGTAACAAATTTTGAGCACTTGATTTTGCATGTATATACATACATCTCGGATCTTTTCTCTCCTGCTCAACTGAACTCAAAAATAGAAAGAAAATTGCTCAAGGCCATTACCTTTGATTCACACTCTCTAGAAAGCATCTCTAAGGCCTCCAGATGTGAAAGACCCTGAAACTCATCAAACAGTAACCCATAATGGGCTTTCTTCTCTGTAGTCATGGTAACCTCAGTAGCTGTCTGCTGCTCTTCTTTCTCCTTTGCCTCTCGTAAGACCTGAAAAAGAAATGCAGAGGACTCAGGTCAATACCAGAAGATACGGAACCAGGGAGGAGAAAGCTTTAGGTTCAACAGTAAAAGATGGCTGCTTGATATGGAACAGCTGTACCTGAGATAACGTAGAGGTTCTGTTCATTAGGCCCTTTGTTTTTTTGAATCCAGGGTCTCCCTCAGCTATCACATCCATTGTCTTTTTCCCAATGAATTCCAATGCATCTAGACCTCCAGTAATAACACTTTTTCCCTGTGGAACAGATTTGGATGTCATCAGTGCTTAAAAGTCACAGAAGACCATATAGCTGAAGAAATGAGACTGAGGCCATGTTATGCTAGACAAGTCAAATTGGTCTTTGTCACCCCAGAATTCAACCCTAATCATCATCAATCAAAAATAGCGTAAGGACAAGGAAAGTGCCATGATACACTATCAGTCAACAGTTTAACACAACACTCAAACACAACACTCAAACAGCTACATGAATCTGACAGAAAATATTATTCTGTGAAGGAGCTGGTTCTCAGCACTCCGAAGTATTTAGTTTATGACACTCCAAGCAGAAAACGCTACAGTTGCCTGTTTTTGCTTTTAAGGCTTGAAATCTGCAACTATTTCAGATTCATGGGAAAAATTGACAAGACAGCAGATCACAAAGGCACTGTTTCTAAGGGTACTGGACTCTTTGAAGTCTATTTCTCACGGTCACAGGAGCAAGCTGATTTCCAAGCAATTTGGGCTGGTTTCACGAGTTTCTGAAGAGGAGAATGAGTTTTCACATCTAGACAATTCTCTGAAAATATTCCAGGAATGAGTCTGACTCTCCATTTGACTGAATGCCCTAAAGGAAGGGAGCATAGATAACAGCACAAAGGTGACATGCATGGGAATGCACGCATCACACAGTTCACCGTTGGGCGTCCTTGTTATATACCAACACTTCATATACAACTAACAAAAGTAAAGATGACCTGCACATCAATTGCCAGCACGGCATGAGATAATGCCTGTTTGAAGGCCAACATATTCTCTCACTATTTATCTCACAAAAGCCAAATTAAGTTTCCTGATATGATGCTTCAGACAATGCTCTCAAACTCATTTTCTCCTGCTTTCCCAACTCACTCACTGTGCTTTGAACAGCAGTAGAGATGGTTGATAGAACTCCAAAAGCTCCAGCAATAGGAAAGGAACTGCCATCACCAGCTGCATCTGCGCTGTTAACATCAGGATTCTCACTTCCTGCATTAGAAGGCAGAAAATCAGCTTCCTCACTCCCACAAAAAGATCCTTTCAGCGGTTGAGTGCAGAAAATTAACTAACAAAATGTATCAGCCAGAAGTAGGGTTAGAACTGAGATTATTTTCTTGTCCTTTTTCCAGAGCTAACACCATTAAGCAATGTGCTGTTTTTAGCACTTTGGTATCTACACCAACATGAGAGATAGAAGTAACATGATGTCATTTGGGGGCTGATTATATTGAGATTTGTTTCAGTGTTGTTCTTAAGCAATAAAAACTGACCTCTTGTAGTATCTCTGGTCTCTGAAGAGATTTCACTAGGACTGGGGATCCCAAGGGTTGTTTCTGCTTTTTCTATGACATTTGAAATACCTTGACCTAGAGAAGACAGGAGCAGTGCTTTATCCATGTGGAATGTTTTATTCCTCATAAGAACAGAAACAGCATCAGATATATATATCATTTTTCTACTATTTTGTCTTATTCCTGTACAAAACAGTTTAATCCACACTAAAACATACCACTATCCAGGTTGTTTACTTTCCAGTGTTAATGGAAAGTAATTAATTCCGATTTCATTCAGGTTTTAAATCAACTTGCAAAATATTAAAACATCAAATTATTCAAACACCTCAAAAACTTGGTAGTTTTAGTTGAGTTCCTCTCCTTAATCTCACTGTACCTTTTGGCATGTGTTTTCCCACTACTTGAACAGTTTTCTTGACATTTTCCAATACTTGCTTCTATAACAACCTCATTCTCAGGAAAAAAAGAGCTCATAAGCTCCTGAAACATGAGGTATGGTTAAAATATTTATCAAATACCAGAAAGAGACTTACCTACAGTAGCTACAGTAGCAGATGCAGTTGACAGAAGGGATTTCCCCCAGCTTCCCCAGTACCCCCATCCTGACTGAGATGCAGGAGGTTCTGAAACCTTTATTGAAGAAAAACAGAAAAGAGCAATTCAGGTAACAAGAAGAACATACATAGCCTCTGGTGGATAACTTTCACAGTGCTTTTTATTTTCAAATGAACAGCAATGTGAGTTTTCAGAATTCTTCTGTGCACAAAGCCATGAAACTTCAAGTCACATCATTCAGACTGAGCACAAACACACACCTTAGAAGTTTCAGCTGTGGGCTTTTTTATGCCAGCAGACTGACTTGGGGCTTTGGGTTCAGGTCTCTTCCGAGTCACAGGCACAGGTTCTTTCTCTTCATTGCTCTCAGTGCTGCCAGGTTCTTCCACTTTCTGCTCATTTTCGTCCTCGTAAGGGGTTTCCTCTTTCAGATTTTCACCAATGTCTTCTTCAGACATGACTACTGCATTCACAGAAAGCAAAGCAGATAAAATAACCTCTCGCTTTCATGCTGTGACATTAGTTCAAAAGCAGCACACCTGTGCTTTAAATAATTCAGCAGAGCTCTGGCAGAATTGCCATCTTGTTGCCACACGTACCTGCACAAACAGATTACGTCTGTAAGGGAGCTTCTACAGGAGAAATGTCACACCTGGAAGCTTAAAGTCCCACAGGAACAAGTGGCCCTATCTCACCAACACACCTTCTCTGCACGAAACGCTGCCAGCTCTGAAAAAGCAAACAAAACACACAGCAGGTGACTAAATACATGACTTGCCTCACAAAATAAAATAAAATAACTGACTGGGACCGGCTGTTTGGGAAGGGGTTGGATACCAGTGGGGACAGCTATTAGGAAGCAGGCAGGGAGGGAGGCAAGCGGCTGGTTTGCTTGTATCTGTAGGGCTGAGTTGTTTCGGGGAGCTCAAACAACGCGGGGCGCCACAACGGACGGGGGGACACGGCCTCTGGATCCCGCAGGGGCGGATGACACAACAGCAGAGGCTGCGGGCACGGGTCCGTGTGCTCCCCCAACCTCCCCGCTGCCCAAAGAGCCCCCCAGGTCCATCGGGACTCCGCACCCCGCAGTCCCCCAGCAGTGCTCCCAAAAGCCGCACCAAGGCGGCCCACATGAGCCCCCGCCTCACCAGCCAGGCCTCCAACGCCGCGCTCCCCCAGCGGGCGGACCGCACCATCGAGAGGAGGTGCAGAGCGGCGCCGGCTGGCTGTCACCGGAAGTGAGGCGCACCCGGAAGGGCGATCGGGGAAGCACTTCCGGGTTGCTTGACCGGTGGCGGAGTCTGAGGTGAGGGCTCGGATCGGGTCCGTTCGGGTCGGGCCGTACTTCCCGGCTCCGCGGTGACGTCAGGTTTCCCTTTGCGATCTCAGAACGCGGGGAAAGCGGTGAAGCAGCTGCTGCTGCCGGGAGGCGTCGGGACACACGCCTTATCTCGGTGTTTCAGCGTAGAGGTGCGGTGAGGAGGGCGGCTTATAGCGTGACGTCATGGCCGCCTGACGTCATTCCCGCGTGGTCTGACTTCACCCAGCCAGCAGCGTGCCTGGCCGTCGTGCTGCTGTCGGTGTGTGCGTGGCTGGGGCCACTCAGCTATTCATTTCCAGTTTGTACCCTTGATTGCGTTGAGCAATTAGCAGGAACTCGCTTGTTCTCACACAGTCTATCGCGGGCTCTCCCTGCAGCATGTCTCTCCCCATCCTGCCAGGCATTGAGGCCTCGCACTCCCCAGGTTTCCTACGCCCTTTGCTTTTCCTTGGAGCTGATGGCTTCGCTCCATCACACCTGATTGAGCTGTAGGTGTCTCTGCGCACTGCAGTGGAGTCGGACCAGATGGTCTTTAAAGTTCCTTCTCAACTCAAAGCATTCTGTGATTCTGCTTTGCCCCAGTCACGCAGTTCACACCTTCAGCCCTATCTCAGATGCTTCTCCCAGGTCTGAAGGGTGATTGGGGCCACACGGGACAGCCACACCCTCTGCACTTCAGCCCAAGCTGCAGTCAGGGTGCAGACTTCCTGCAGAAGTGATCAGTGAGCACCACTTGGTGCACATTGTCGCCAGTTAACTTGTTTGGAAACCATCATAAAGTCAAAATACACTCCGACACTGTTTGCCAGGGGTGGTGGGAGGATGGAGCAGGCTGTGAGGTGTATCTCAGTTTATTGCTTTGCATTTCTCCATGTGTGAGATGACATTATGATCAGTGAATGCAAAGCCGTATAACTTTCAACCTCTTGGGTCCCAATCTTGCAATGCTTTATAAATGTGTGTAATGTTAAGTACTCTCAGTATTTCCACTGACCTCAGTGGGACTACTTAGAGTGCTTTAAGTTAAACACAAATATTTTTTCAGGATAAGTGCCAAAGATGACTCATATAAGCGTACGCATCATGGATTTTTATCCTTTCACTGCTATTTGTTGTTACAACTTCGAGTCTCCTAAAGGTTCAATATATTGAGCTCAGCTCCAGGTTTCATTGTAAAGTAGCCAGTTTCTATTCTGCACATTTCATCTTGCTTAGGTTTAATGCTGTCTTGAAGCATTGTAACATTGGCACTGCTCAAGCTTTATCCTTTTTGGATCCTTTATCAGCTCCAGCAGCTGTTTTGCATGAATGTGATGGCTGAAGAATACGGATTTCGCAAATCATTTTATTTTTTCCCAGCATTCAGCAATGAGAGATCGTTGTCTGCTTAACAATAATGGGTTTTCCAAAAGTGAAATGTGACAAACAATTTAGAATAAATCAGACCTCGAGGAGTTTAATAGTAAAATTCAATGACCCATCACCAATGTTTTATACATTATGCAAGCTCAGTGCAGACATAGCGGAGAGCATATGCAATTACTGAAGATAATTATCTTATTCTTATGAGGGAAAATGTTGCTCAGTATTTCTTGTGTTAAATAATTGACTGAGGTTTCTAATGTCGTTTTGGAAGGAATGTCGCAGACATTTGGAAATCTAATAATTTAAGTTTAATAATTTAAAATGGCAAAAATAACACAGGCCAAGTACAGGAGTTGCTGGAATTGTTCTCTAATAAATCTGAAACATTATTAGTTGGGAGATTATAGTTTTGGAAGATTGGAAGCTGTACCACGTTTGATTCAATAATGAGGGATGGGGTTTGCGTTCACTTTGTCACTATCAACAGCTGGAGCTGCAGCAAATCTTGCTAAGTCAGGCCAGATGTCAGCCATCCACAGAGCACTCACAAACCCAATGCCTGCACATAAGAAACCTGCACGAGGTTACCCAGATAAGCCAGTCTGTTGTGGGCAACTTTCTGAGGGCTGTGAAACTCTCTGAAAACACCAGAGGTGTGAAAAAAAGAGAAAAAAAGGGGGTTAAAACCCCTCCTTCAAACAAAAGGGTGGTGCTTGGTCAGCAGCAGTCTTAGTGGTGTGTTTTCAGACCTGTGGAGTCTGTGGCTGGGATGCCATTCTCCAGAGGCAACAGAAGTCAGTAACACTTCCCCCAAAGTCTAAGCGGTGGAAAATATGTGTGAAAGAAGTCATGGTATTTTTCTTAGCTGTTTAGCTGCAGAAAAATATCTTCTTCAGCACAGTGGTGCAACAGTTCTCAGTGCTGGTCTCATCTTAAATGAACAGGCAAGAGGAGTGGCAGAGAAAGGAAAGGAGAAAAAGAGGGCAGGTGAAGGGATTGCTGTTTGCAGAGGAACAAGCAGAGGGCCTGGTTTCTCGTTTCCCTTGCAGGATTCAGTGGGTGAGTTGGTCAGTCAGGCTTGAAGGAGAGTTGGACACAGCTGTCTCTTTTGCCTCCTTTGTGAAAATGATTTGGCAATAGCTGCAACAGAAATGGGTCAGATACACATTTCTCATCAGATGTCAGATCCAGAGTCTGGTTTGACCTTCAACAAGTTATCTTTAACTGAAAGAATTCCAAGTCTGGCAAATTCCTATTCAGCAAATTTTCCCATTCCTGAATATGCTTAATTTGTCTCTGCTGGAAACACAATTAGTACAAATCAGCTATACATATTTATAGCAAATTATTTTTTGTAAGTGATGTGAATTCTGTCTGCCTTAGGCAGTGTTAGCGAGCAGTTCTGGAAGGACAAGAACTGTCTGCATTATTTATTAAGAAAACTTACTCCTTTGTATTGTGATATTTATGAAATTCAACTCTGCTTGCTTTGTTATTGCTAGATGATGATGAATTTGAAGTCATGCAGTTAGTGGGGTGAAGTCAGATATTTTTTAAGATAACATTTTAGCCTGTGGCTTCTATACTTGGTGAATAGTTTTCTACGGCACTGGAGCGGTCTAGATGGAATCACAACCTCAGGGAATGCATATTGGATTAGAATTTCTTTTTGAATCAGGCTTTCAGGAAAATTGATTACAGATTTTCTATTAATGGTGTAATCTCATTTGGTCACAATTTGGTTTTATTCTGGCTTTTAGAAAAGAAAATCTGTGTGTGCAGAGAACCTCAAGTTAAATTCTTCATTCTAATGTCTTCAAATATCTTGTGCACACATAAATCTGAAGTGAGAGTTCTGTCCCTAGAGAAAATAATTTTTCAAACAGCTGTGAAATACGGGGCAGGATTTGGTGTGGTGAAGATAATAAGCAAGGTGTGACTGCTGAGATGTAGCAGCATAAAGCAAAAGATTTTCAGTAGGAGTTTACTGTACAACAATAACAGCAAAAACCAGAATGCAGCAGCAGCAGCAAAAAAGGTTGCCAAAAAAAGGGAAGTGTGTTTAGACATCGGTGTCCTGTTATTCAGAATGGAACTTCCTCCCTTTGTAGGTAACTGCCACAATAATTCTCCCTGCACAAGAAACGAGGAGCATATTATCTAGTATTTAGACGCATAACATTGATTTTACCTTAAAATCAAGTAAGTAAATGTACGAGTGCTAAAAATCAAATGTGTGAGTGCTTTTATTCCTCAGTGCTAAAGGAAAAACCAGCATTGAAAAAACAGGATGTGAAGGGACTTTGATGTTGGTGTGGAGGAAGGCAGAAATTATTTCCTCTCTTGCTTTTTTTTCTCTATTAAGAAAGCACTTTTTTTTTTTGATGTTAACAAATGCAGAATCCACTTTCTGATCCTGAAGGTACTTATGCAGTTTGAGTAGGCTGTACAATTTTTTCTTTTTTTAAAGCCACATTTCTCTTATTGATTATTGTTCCCGATATTATTTATTTGGATGGGAGGATGAATGTGTACAGAACTGAAGGTTGTGCTAATGCCTTCTTACTCTCATTTCATTACTGTGTTCTGAGCAAAGCTCTGATTTGGAACCTCTTGGCTGACAGTTACATTACGCTGCTGGAAATCTGTTTACTGGGAATGAAATTTGAATACACCATAAGCATGCTGCCATTAATAAACTTAATTGTGTTTTTTTTTCAGTTGGATTTCCAGTTTCTTCTCACAGTATTGATGGTCTTGAAAGTGCATTTGGATCCAAGACGTTTTCTACCATTGAACAAATTAAGAACCTCCTCTCTATCTCAGATCCGTACAGACAATTTAATATCTTATGACTTCATTTCTCCAAATTAAATGAAAAAGCATTTTTCTCTTAACTTTCCATGAAGCTCAGCTATTGCCTGTTAATTTTGACTGTTAGTGCTGATCTTTCGATTGGACTTACATTGGAAAATGTAGCTTCTAATGGGACACTTGTTTTTGAGTCTTTCAATGCATCACTTCATCCAGTGCCTCAAGCTTTAGCAAGTTCCCCAGCACACCATGATATCATAGCCAAAGAAGGAACCAGTGTTTTAATTGAATGTAAAGTGAACATCAGCCAATATGAATATATTCTTTGGTATAACTCCAAAGGACACCTGCTTCAACAGAAAGATGAAGGTGAGCTTTTCTGCTGTTTTACATCCTTGGGCATTCTGCTTTTTTACAGTACATGAAAATCTCTGGAACTTTATTGTTTTCTCTTTCTATCCTCCCATTTTTATAGTTAGGAAATAGGAGAGAACAAGACAAAGCTCTGGCATGTGGTGGATCAGACTTTATACCCAAGTTCTAAAGTCCTAGCCCACCCATCCTGGTATAGTGCCCTTCTGTCATTTTGTTCAAGAACCATCACAACATGCGGTACAGAAGAACTGAGTATACATCCTACCAGATTGTAACTGATGTTATTATTGCTCTGGTTCATATTACATCTTTTCAAACACATGAATTAAATACAAGTCTCCAAAATTATGACCTTTTCAAGCTGTCAAGCCTTGCTTTAATTTTGTTACAGGATTTTATAAAGCATGAGGTAACTGATTACATTTATTTTCTGGTTTATGCACCACTGAGATTGTGGAAACCAACACAGCTTGTAATGGCCAGGGTTGAAATGCATGCTATGTAACCCTTTCATACAGAGAGAGAAATAGTTTCCTATTGACTCTTGTAGTTCTGTCCCTCCAATTTTTAATAATAATTTAAAAAAAGGCTTTTAGAGACCCGTGTGGTATCCTCTATTAGTATTAATGAAGATCATTGAGCTAATTGATAGGATCTTCTCAGAGGCCGTTGTACTGCTTTAAGTATTCAGTAACCTCTTTGTAGTTATACTGCCATCTGGAAATTAGTTCAGAGTAGACTAATTAGGAGAATGAGTTATGAAAACAATTTTTACCCCAAGTTATAAACCCATAGGAAATATTGCGTAAAGCTGCTTTTATTGATTTCTTTTTACGTAAGTTTTGTGTATCAGCACTGCATGCTCAGCAGAAAGCTGTGTCTGAAGAAAATTCTTGGTCCTTTTGCCAGCTGAGCCATTTACAGACGGTGATCTTTTTCATGGGTCACTTGACTTTTGACTCAGAACATATGGAATATTAGATTCTATAGAAGACAGTCTTTCCACATAGTGAATTACAGTAGGTGAGAAGTTCTATTTAAAAATTAGGTTCCCTGTCAGATAGAACTAGTGATGCAAAAGCACTCCAAAAATATAGATGAGAGAAAACAGAAGAACCAGAGTAGCAAGTGCACAAAGTAATTTACCATTAAGCAGTAGGATGGCTAACTGAGTTAGGGCTTTCTGTGTCACAAGCATAAAAAGGAAAATTTAATTCTTGTCCTACTGTGTTATGCTAGAAACAGAGTGCTTACTGTAAAGCTTGTGGAGCAAGCAGCATGTCTCTAGCTTACCTAGTTTGTGTTTCATTAGCTCACTTTATTTTTTTTGAACCTCCAGGTGGACGGTGGAAGATTGCTGATAATTTCCTTAACATCACAAAGGTCAACTTTGCTGACCGGGGACGATACACGTGTGCAGCTGTTAATGGTAACAACACAGCCTATTCCACTGTCACCCTGAGAGTCACCTTCACCTCAGGAGACATGAGTATTTACTACATGATTGTGTGCCTCGTTGCCTTTGCTATCACCCTCATTTTAAACATAACTCGTCTGTGCATGATGAGCAGTCACCTCCGCAAAACAGAGAAGGCTATCAATGAGTTCTTCAGGACGGAAGGGGCTGAGAAGCTTCAGAAGGCTTTTGAGATAGCCAAGCGTATCCCCATCATTACATCTGCCAAAACACTAGAGCTGGCCAAAGTCACTCAGTTTAAGACCATGGAGTTTGCTCGGTACATTGAAGAGCTTGCCAGAAGCATTCCCCTTCCTCCACTGATCCTTAATTGCAGGGCATTCATGGAAGAGATCTTTGAGGCTGTGCGAGTTGATGATCCTGATGAAGTCGGTGAGGCAGAAAAACAAACCCAAGCCTGTGGTACCCAAGCTGCAATATACCCCGTCAACCCGGAGATCAAGCGCAGTGATTCGCCGGCCGGGGATTCTGATGACGGGTCTGTGAATGAGCAAGGCCAAGAAATAGCTGTTCAGGTGTCCATCCACCTGCAGGCAGAAGCACAGAGCATTGACACCGTTTCTCATGACAGCTGCCAGTTTGCTCCTTCTGAGGAAGGCACCTGCTGAACCCAGCCACACCTGTTGTACAGGGGCACAGGTGTCTCTGGGATAACGTGAGAAAGGGATGTGCAAACAAGCTGCCTCATCCCATGTGCACAAGAGTTGTTTTTTTTCCAAATTGCAAGATGCCAGAACTACTACTGATGTCTGTATTTCCTGTCAGTGTTTCGCTGTGTTGGTCTAACAGTTTCAGATCCATAAGAGAAGGCTGTTTGAATTATTGTTCAGTGGATTTTCTTTTTGAAGCAGCTTGTTTTACTTCAAGTATTTATAAAACAGTAATTCTTTATCATCAGCTCCTTGGTACCCTCTGATACTTCTGATCTGTATTAGAAGTAGCCAAGCTGAGCAGAACAAGTTGCAATAAGGTCTTTTCCTTTGTAGGCCTGTTCTTCCTTCACAAAGTGGAAGCAGAATTCCTTAAAGCCAATGTTGTTATCCCACTGAATTGAGTTGTGTGCTTTTTTTGAATTGCCTCACACTATGTGTAGCCCATCAGAACCATGGTGAGCTTGAACAAATCTGTTTTGTGTAGTGTGCTTCTATGTTGCTATCAAAATGTACTGTACTTAGAAAAATGCACCGAGATCTGCTGCTGAATTAAACAAAGTGCTATGGCAGCTTAGAGAACAACCAGGGGATCTCTGCTTTCTGTGCATCTGCGTCTGCATCTGTACTTGAGTGTGTGGAAAGCAAATTGCTACAAACCTTGTCACTTAAGCTTGGTGCTGATTGCCAACACGCCTTACCCTGGTTCTGTCTTACAAAGTGGAGCAGTAGGTGGTACCACTGGCTCTGTCTTTTGACTCTGCTGATTTCACTCGCTATAGAGAACCCAAAGTTTCATGTTGCATTTGACATTGTTGTGAGAAAAGAGTGACAGTAATCGTCTAGTGGTGTAACTTAAAGGGAAATTTGTCTATTGTTAAAGTATTTCAGGCAGTTATTTCTGAGTTATAGAGAGGAAAAAGCAATGCCACTGACTTTACTCTGGCTAGCGCTTTCAGAAAACAGTGGGAGAGAGGGCTTAGCAGAGGGGCTGGCTGAGCTGCTTGCCAGCCCGTTTTCAGAGCAGAGTGGTTGGAGAGTGTTGCCCTCCCTCATCTGCTGAAGAGGAAAGGCAGCTGACATCCATACCTACACGTGTACGTGCTACACCAAGGATCTCCTGTATGGCTTCCTTCCTCAGCTGTGGAGCTGCGGCCTCATGGAAACCACAGGCAGACAAGAATCAAGTATCTTCTTTCACACGTTGGTGCTGATTTTTTTTTCTCCCTAGCATTTATAAGTTGTATCACTTAAATAGCATTATATATCCTATCGAGATTTAGTAGATGTAAGGGTTGTAAAAACTCCACAAATTAATTTTTTACAACTACTGGAACCATTCTGCCATATAATTTAAACAACTTGGCAACAGGAGCACCATTTAATTTCCCACAACTCTTTTTTCTTTTCCTTATTATTACAAAAATGTCATTTGAACAAGTGATTCTGGAAGGCTGTTCAGGATTCTTAAGAGGATTTGACTCTACATTTACATGAGTAAGCAGGCACAGTGGTAATAACAGGGTGGAGCTTTCTGTTGTAGTGCATCCTCCTAACAAAGGGTCTGAGCAAATTACATTTATCACATCATATCAAATGGTGGGAAAGTGAAGCATTTATTACTATTTTAAAATACCTCCTGGGGAAAGTTCTGCTAACAGCCACCAGTATATGCAGCCTACTTGGCTTTGGTATACTGGGTAAGAGCTGTGTTTTTTGGTGAGAATGAACACTGCTAGCCTTAGTTGCAGTATGCTCTGACCAACTTGGTACCATTGCCAAGACCGTAACAAACATCTGCTTCAGGGAAGGAAAGCTTGCTATAGACACGATAGATACTGCCCTCTGCAGTAGCTTCTTGTTAGTTTCCATGGTTTGATAGCACTTTATGTCCAGGTGAAAAATTTGTGTAGTTTTGTGTAACCTGTCTGATTTTCAAAAACGTTTTTAGTGATCAGTGTTAAATTCTTGTAGATAAAGGCCTGGTTCTAGATGTCCTGCCACAATGCTGCTGGCTTCACTTCTGTCCTACAGTGAGCTCTGCAGATTTATTGCCTGACACAGATTTGGGGGTTTGTACCACTTTGTATGTCCTATCTGAAAGCTGATGGCCACAGGAGAGGGTCATCTCTTTTAATCTGTTGAGCCACAGGCCTTTGGCATTTTACCTGCTCCTGCCAGTTTTCACAAAACAGCTCTCCTTGCTTCTGTGAAGCTATTGCATTCCTTGTGGCAGTAGCATCTTTGACATTTCCCCCTTCCCCTATATGCACTGTAGAGATGCAGCTACAAAATCAAAGCTCCATTTAATTGCTTCTGTGGAAGCAGTTATGCAGTTGTGATTGACAGATGTCTCATCAGAAGCAGCAGCTTGCAGGCAGCAGGATGATCCTAGAGGTGCATCAGATGGGTGTCAGGAGACGAGTTTCTGGATTAACTCAATCTGTTCTTTGATTTTTATTCTTTATTTCCATAGCTCCGAGTTCTCACTGAGCGCCGTTACGTGGTGTCTCCATGTGTCCCCATTTCTGGTGGAGAGAAAAGAATCCTACATCCAGGTCCTCAGAAATGCAATTGCCGTGTCAATTGCTGGATAATAAAGCCAAGTATTTTCCTGAATTATTGCAGCATTTTGTTTCCCAAATTAATTCCATCCCTGGGAAGGAAGCTGCATTGCAAGAATTTCAGTAAATCAGTGGCACTTATTAAATGTAGGAACTGATCCTACCTCCACTGAATTCAATTAGAGCAGATTAGGAGCCTTAGTGTATTTTACAAACAATATTATAGGGTTTTTTTTGTGCATCTGAAAGCAAGGAGGATGTTGGTGTTCTGCAGTAAATGTGATTTCCAGAGAAGGAAACCTGACACTGGTTTCAAACAACTTGTGAACTCTTCTTACATTGACTAGCTGTGTGCATGTAGGTCTGTTTGATGTGACTAACTGAAAATTAACATTGAAAGACTGTATAAGTGACAGTGTTTCTAACTTTTCATAGGTCAGGGAGATTCTACAGTGGTTTCCTTGGTTTAAACTGAATTCTTTGACAATCTCAAGGCTATTTTATCTCTTCTTTATAACTGCTTTTTATTTAAAATAACATAAAATCTACTCATTACCCGAGAGTACCTAAAAATAACTTTGTAGTGGTTGTTTGTATTACATGGATTGTAACGTTAAAACGTAATGTTTAATGTAACCGCATAGGATTTCATACTTTCATAAAATGAATTGGTAGGTTTGCAAAATAAATGAAAAACAAAAGCTTCGTTCTCTTTTGGTTTACTTTTCTATCATTGAGGGGAGATGAGCAGCAGGCGATGGGAGGTTGAATGCTGGTGGCCACTCTGATATCAGAGTGCCAGGACACTCAGTCATCTGATAGACAGTTCCTGCTCTGATGCCTTTGGGATTGATGTTTTCTGTGTCTCAGAGTCCCCAGCAGCATCTGTATGGTTGCCAGCTGCACATACAAATGCTTACAGACCCGACATGACTTCAGCAAGGCCCGTGCATCCCTCAGTTTCACTTTTTCAGGGTAAAAAGGTGATTGTGAAGAGCAGAGACCCTCAACCACAAACATTTATTTTCTATTCTTACCTCTTCTACATGGTTGTATAGTTCTGTGCTTTTTTAATGTTGTTCAAAAGATGGTATATTTGGAGACAGCTTGTCTCACAAATGGCAACTTGGTGCAAATGTGAAGTATTGGAAGCCTTCAAGTGACTAAATCTGTTATTGTTTTCCTCCTCATTTGGTGACCAGGCTTGGGTTCCTTTTGCATTGCAACAATTCAGACCATTAAACTGTGCCAGAGGATGATCCCAAGGCCTAAGTGAGGAGCTTTCTACCACTGGTCACACGAGGAAACCCCATTTCCCATGTGAACACCTGATGTGTGAGAATGAATGTCTTCTGTATGGGCTTCTCCTGTAGCTCTGGGTGCCAGCCTGCAGCACAGAGTAAAAGTGCCCTTAATGCAGTTTAAAAACTGCAGTCCAGCCTCCTCATCCAAAATACAGCTTCCTCAGAAACCTTCCATAATAAAACCTTTGGAGCTGTTTGAGTGTGAGAGCAGACTTCGCCCACTTGATTTTTAAAGAGTAGTCTCTAGCTGCCACTCTCTGCACAAGGAAGATAATAGAATTAAAGCTGAATCTTGGAGATTTTCCTACGAGAATCATTTGCTAAAGGAAGAATTATTGTACCCATACTCCTCAGGCTGGGTCAGTGTTGAGTCAGCATCTGCTTTCTATCTCTGTTATGAGATATGCATGAGTGAGAATGGTTCATTTTCTTAAGCTCCCGTAACCTGACTCCTCATGATCCAACCCACAGTGAGAAAGTTCATCTGCCTGAATTTAAAGCACTTTTCCATTTGGATAACAACAGATAATTGAAAAAGGAGCTGCATTAAGAACGATTGTACTTTAATGTTCGCTGTGTCCCCTGAAAAAGATCATTTCTCTTCCCTTGCAGCACTCCTATAAGTGCAGTCTCCTGGAGGAGACGCAGTGGGAGCACCGCCGTGTGGTTCGACTCAGGCAAAGTGATGGCTTTGTTGCCTCCTCTCCGCCAGGTCATTTCACACCAGCTGGGTATCTCTTCTGTTCTCTTTCTAAATTGTATAGCAGCTCATTCAGATGTCTCCAAACACTGCCAGTTTTTCCACATGCGGAAGGGAGAATTGCAGCATAGCTCCAAAACCAGAAAAAAAAAGAATGGTTTTGCTAGACATTGAAATGTGGAAAAAAATCTTGAAAAGGCATGAAGTGGTCTCTCACTAGTAGGACAGGGCCTATTCCTTGGTCACGCTTGGCAGCCGATGATCATAATAATATCAGGCAATTAGGGCTTTCATTTTCATTAGGCTAATTAATTGTTTGCACAGCGCCCTGAATATGGAATCATTTTCCTTTGGAAGGAATAAAAGGATTAGAATGGCTGCATCCCAAGATGCTCAGAACGTATTTTATTTATTTTATGGGAGAAAAATTCTCTCGTGCCCCAAATGCAAACCATCTACTCGAGCAGTAATGCCTGCGCTGGGACATTCACATCAGCGGAGACGCTCACAGATGATACATATGTCCATCCATCTGCCTCCACGCTCCATATGGCATCTGGGCTTCCTGCTGCATGCCGATGAGCCCGCACAGAGGCTGGAGTTGTCTGTGTGCTGCCAGGTTTGTGTGTCGGCTGTGCTGGGAGCGGAGGAGCGATGAGCAATGCCCTGGGATATGGGCTGTCCCAGCGTAGCGATGGGCTCCACATTGGGATCGTGCTGGGAGGCTGTGACACTGTGGTTGTAATCACACTAGAGGCCTTTTCGAGAGGTTTATGCTCTGTGTAAATCAAAGGCAAATGAAACCCAGGCGAGGATGTCATGAAGAAAGGTACCCAGTGGCTGCAGTATTGCAGAGGCAATTGCTAGCTCTGTTTTTCAGTGTTTGTCCTATTCAGCGTCTCTCTGTGCTACCTATTATTAAACATATATTTCATATTAAATTGTTTCAAGTCTAATACAAGCTTGCAGAAAGGCAATTCAGTGGAAAATGAGGGGACATATCCAGCCTTCAGCTTAGGGGAGAGGCTCCCATCCTATCTGTGCTGAGTCTTGCAAACGTCCCTGGTGTCAGTGCTGGCAGGCAAAGTCCCTGCCCATAAATGCAGTATTTTGGGTGCAGCATTGCTTCATACCTGTGTGTGGTGGGGCATGGGGAGCAATCCCCACAACAGACATGAATGTGCAAAGGACGTAACCACGCACTACCATCATTTCAAGAGCTTTTCTGCATTTTACTTACTTTCCCTCATTGGTACCTTCTGTTAAGCTTTCTTCATGGTGAATATTCTGAGGTTCTTGCGTGGTCAATTGGAAAATCCCAAATTTTCATATTGTTTTCCTCCAACTGAAGTCTCCTGAGTACTGACTGAGGAGGAGGACAGCGGCCCAGAACAGACATGAAGGAGTTTGGACAACTGCCCTACATTAGAGGATGGGTTTGCTTTGGAAACCCTACACACATCACACTCTGTTATAGAGAGCTGATTTCAACAGCAAATCTCTTGCAACAGGGTGTCACTTCTCTTCCATACATTACTTGAAATGCTTTATTAATTTGATGACCTCGTGGGCTCAGAGAAAAAGCCATTTATCAGTGTTTTGAGGAAAGAGAGCTCCTTGGAGCTAAAGGGACTGTTTTGTTGCTCAGATTTATTGGTTGGCTGACTTAATTCTCCATTCAAACACGATGATTTTTAGCTGCCGGGCAGTGGCCCTTTCAATGTGGAAGCTAATTAACTGCTAGAACTCTTCGTAGCAAGGCTGTTCTTGTGCTGTGTTTTTTTTTTTTTTAATCCAGAGAAATAAAGCAAACACGATCCTTGAGACGCAGGTTGCATGGATACCGTATCAGCGCAGACACAGAGCCCTGCTGATGACTTTGTCTTACAAAGACAGTAAGGCTGGCACCGTCCGTTGGTGGCATGACAATATACAGAAGTAAGATGAGAAAATAGCATCTGACAATGAAAGGAAGGAGGGAGGGAGGGCAGAGCCACGACGAGATCTGATTAGGGGCAGCATCAAGGGCTGTTCGTTGTGAGCGGTGAGCTCTGCTCCCCAGAATATTTCTGGGAACAGTTTATGAGCCCAGCACTATTGCATGGGGATGGCTGAAGGAGGGACAAGCAGCTCTAGAAGCTCAAGTGTGGACACTTCAGTGCTGGTTGTACTCCATACAGTGTTTGTGAAGCACTGCTGCCCTGCTCTTTGCTCCAAGCCTGTAGGTGAGAATGAAATATAAATCACAGCTGCAAGCAGAAAGCAGGGAATCCCTCGCTGGCTCCATTGAGCTCCCCATCTGTCTTCATTCCTGACAGCTTGATTGCCTTTATCATCATCTTTAAATGCAGAGCCGCAAATACCATCAATGGTCATAAGGAACAGCAGTTCTTCCTGATGTACTTCAACCAGCATCCTCTGCAAGTGGAGCTGGGTGTTTTTCCCCTGAGATTTTGGACTGTAGAGAGCAGAGAGTAAGAGCAGAGGAGCATCCCTGGGTGTGCCGTTGGGGAAATCTGGCATCATCAGGCTTGCTCTGAACCAAGAGGAAGGTGCAGAGAACTGAATATAGGAGAAGGAATCTCTGCATCCTGGGGCTGCTGATGGATCTCACCCAGCCTTGGGCAACCAGGGGGACCTCCAAAAGAGTGGTGAAGTTACCTGGCAGCTTGTTTTCTAGGAGAACAGTGAGGACAGTTCTAGGGGAATTACGGAGAAAGTTTGGCATGGAGCACAATGAATAGGAGGAAATGAAATTTGAGGGTCAGCATTGTCCAAAAGAGCACTTTGGAATATGTGGTACCTATCAGCTGCCTCATCTCTCAGCTTCCAGCCACGGCTCAGCATCTCCTGGTCTCCAAGGAAACCTCAGAGCAGGGCAGGACGTGGTCAAGGTGTGGGGAGACTACAAGGATGCACCACATCAGGAGCCAATGGGACATGCCTATCCCTTTGGTCCCTTTGTGCCCCATTGAAGCCACTCCAGAGTGAAGCACACCTCTGGTCCATTAGTTGTGTCACTTTCCTCATCTCTGCTGATCTTCTGGAGTTTAAATAGCTGTGCTCTGCTTCACATCACACTGTCCTTGCAGGATTGCAGCACACGTCTGTCGTTGCTCTCCTCTCTGCAGCCCCAGGCTGGATGAGGACACACGATTTATTCAGCTGAAAGGCAGCCCAGGTCAAGGTCATTACATGCCATGCTGAACCCAAACAGCAGGAGCATGGGGTTGGGAGCAGTGCCTGGAGATTTGGGCTGGAGCAGGAGGATGCTCTGGATGCACTGGGGTGCTGCAGGGACCCACTCATGTGCAGCCCCAGTGAGTTACAATGTGCAGGGGACATCCCAGAGCAGGATGGGGAAGGAGCTTCCAGCATGGAGCTGGCACAAGCCCCGAGGCCATTCCCATAACCACTAGAGGCAGCTCTTGTTTTGAACACGGACAAAGCAGCCTGGCACTGACAGGCATCGAACTGCAGCTGGGCACTGCTCTGCAGGGCCACACCGCTGTCCTCTGAGGCCCTGCAGCCCCTCACCACAGCCTACATGAGGTCCTGCAACCTCCATAGCATCCCACAGCCCATGGAGTTCCATAGCCTATCCAGCTGTGAGTTATCCCAAATACAGCCTGTTAGAGTCTGGGTGGGCAGCAGACCCCCAGCACAGCCCCTGGCAGCCCCAGCCCTGG